CTTTCCCTATGCGTAGGAGAGGGACGACAAATAACGCAGGCAACACGGCCTACACGATCACCGTACACAGCCTTATGGTTTCGTAAGAGAGGCTCGCAGCATTGAAATGCAAGCTTGGCCTACGTGCCGGAAGTCCGGCGTGGCGTGCTCCGACTGTCAAGAGAATGGACGCGGTCCGATTTCGATCTCCGTCGATTATCCCGGTGTATCGCCACCCTCGTCCACCGTATTCGCGTTAACCATCGAAGCCTGGGGTACCGTGGCTGGCGCGCGGGATCGGTCTGTATCGCGCCGATGAGATCAGCGCCGATCGTACGAATAATTCCCTGTTGCACGGACAGTTTTTTCCTGTTGCGTTGTAACGGTATCGGCTTTCGGCTTTCTACAACGGCCAGCTGGATTTCCTCGCAATTAATTATCGAGAAAGCGCGCTCGTTGCACGGCCATAGGGGGGACGCGGGTTTGATACGGAGCGATAGCGAGCGAGCTTCGGGATTTGTTTCGCCCGTTAACCGGGAGTGACGTTGTCCAGACGTCATGCGAATTATCGATGGTTCTCGGGTTATTTACGCGTGCATGTTTACTCAAAGATCGGCCGAGGATCCCGGTGCGCGGTGCTGATCGGTGGATCAGAAAATTAAAGGAAGACCTTACAAGAAATAAAATAAATGGAAATATTGGAAATTTTTAATACGTAGAATTGGAAAAGAGAAATTGCGTTTAAACGAAGGTTTAAACGAGTTAAATAGGGGAGGTCTAATTAACCCCTTGACTATAGCAGACTTTGTTACGCATTGGACGTAACATATGATAGGAATTAAGTTACGATGTGCGCCGAGAACGGCGAACTTTTGGGTAGGAATGCATTTTTGTGAAAACGTATTGCAGTAACCAAAAGACTGAATTTCAATTAAAGGAAGAAAGCCAAACTGCGTCGAGCACCTATAGGCGCGAACAGTAGACAAGGGGTTAAAGAAAATTGCGATTCTAATAATTCCTTAAATTATTAAATTTTGAAATTAATTCCTTAAATGGTTAAATTTTGAAATATTTTTGCGACGACTGCTTTCAAACTGGAATGTAATTTTTGAAATTGTTTTTCTGTCACAGCAATGAGCCCAGCGCTGGGAATGCACCCAGGAATGGCGCCACACTTGCAGCAGCTTCAAGCGCATCTGTTGAGGAGCGCAGCTGCCGCAGCGCTCCTACCCCATGCTCACCCCTTGCAACCCCCAGCGCCACCTCCACCACCGCCTCATCCACACCCCCATGCCCATGGATTATCGCCACACTCGCAATTGTACCCCGGCGTGCCACCCCATTCCACGGCCTCGGCAACCCTTGGACCACACGGTGGAGGATTGCCGCCGAAAACCGAGGTAAACGACTAAAACCGAACTCTAGGTTCGAAATATCTAAAGTAAATCAAATTCCCTTATAAATATTTTAACAAAACCCCGTAAAAATTCTCGTAACCTCCAAAACTGAAAATTGCAATTCCAATCTTGGCGCTTCTTGTACCTATCGAATAACGAAACCACAGTCGACGAATATTCCGAGAAACTTGATGGAATGCAACAAAACACCGGTATCCTCGAATAACATCCTGTGCGCAGGCCTCAGTCACTGTAACAAGTTCGTAGAATCTCGCGCGAGGAACGAAAGCACGGGAGACAAATACCACGGGAAATTTAAACGAATGCGGTAATAACGGTATTCCGGAGGAAAGAAGCTAGGTCGGAATGAGCGGAATACCCGGTCGGAATAGCCGGTGTGAAGCGTGGAGCTGGACGCAATTACCGGAGGCGCGTCCGTGCGCGCGATCGACGATTATGCAAAGACGTGGTCGATCTTGCACGGTGCCTGCGTCTGGCGCGCGATACGCGATACCAGAGAAGGTACCTGCAGCGCCGCGGGCGCGCACAGGTGCCTGTTCGATTGTTACTGCCGGTCGTGTAGCCACGTATGCTCGGTAGCTCGTCATCGATTCATCGGGAATAAACGATCGTCCCCTCGGCGAGCCGTCTACTCCTCTGCGGGCACTCGTCGCCGCTTATGGGCCCTGGTGGGGCCTACGAGGGCCCACGGAGACTTCTCAGCTTCATCCTCGCGGCACGCAATGGAAGGAGCGGAGGGGGAGAAAGAGAAAAAGATTGGGTTACCCTCGCATGGTCCTCGGGTTACAAGCAATCTCGCGCACATTATTTCGCCAGATTCCACCCCCGTCCACCTGACCATCGTCTTTTATCTTCTTCCTCTTTCTCCTCCTTTTTCACCATCTTCCTCTTCTTCCTCCTCTTCCTTCCACTCTCGCGTTCTCCGTTCGCGTCGTTGTTAATCGCGTTCCCCGTGTACCACCGGCTGGCCTCTTTGTCAGGCCCTCTCTGTCCAGCCATCGCGGTCTCTTCGGCCCGTTTCTATGTTTCTAGCCGGCTTTCTGTTTCTCCCGCTTGCCCTGATTTATTTACATCCGCGGTGCGGCGTTTTCATTTTCTCCGCCAGCGACACGACTCGCCGCGTGTCCGCACGCTGTAAACTTCCCGGGCCCCTGATTGCATCGACTCGCGTTTCTCGCTCGTTCCCGCCGCGTTTCGCCCCTCGTGCACGCTCGTTCCCACAAGGTGATCGATGGATTTATAGGCGCCTCGTAATCGAGAGGTGCCCCGCTAGCAAGGACCCCTGGCTGATCGCCTGGCCTCTCGCTCCTCCGCCACGTAACCTGGCCAACGCGACGTCTCTATGGCCGCTGACAATAAGGCCCCACTCGCATTTCCTTTACCCCCTTTTTCGTTATCTCCTCTTTCTCCTCTTTCTTCTCTTTCTACTTTTGCTCCTCTTTCTTCTCTTTCTACTCTAGCTCCTCTTTCTTCTCCTTCTACTCTAGTTCCTCTTTCTTCTCTTTCTACTCTAGCTTCTCTTTCTACTCTAGCTCCACCGCCATTCCGTTGCTTTCCCGCGCGAAATCTTCCAAAAAATTGGAAGATGCCCCACTCGCATTCCCTTTACCCATTTTTCGCTATCTCCTCTTTCTCCTCTTTCTCCTCTTTCTCCTCTTTCTCCTCTTTCTACTTTTCCTCCTCTTTCTTCTCCTTCTACTCTAGTTCCTCTTTCTTCTCTTTCTACTCTAGCTTCTCTTTCTACTCTAGCTCCACCGCCATTCCGTTGCTTTCCCGCGCGAAATCTTCCAAAAAATTGGAAGATGCCTCACTCGCATTCCCTTTACCCATTTTTCGCTATCTCCTCTTTCTCCTCTTTCTCCTCTTTCTACTTTTCCTCCTCTTTCTTCTCCTTCTACTCTAGCTCCTCTTTCTACTCTAGTTCCTCTTTCTTCTCTTTCTACTGTAGCTTCTCTTTCTACTCTAGCTCCTCCGCCATTCCGTTGCTTTCCCGCGCGAAATCTTCCAAGAAATTGGAAGATGCCCCACTCGCATTGCCTTTACCTATTTTTCGCTATCTCCTCTTTTTCCTCTAGCTCCACCGCCATTACGTTGCTTTCTCACGCGAAATCTTCCAAAGCAACGGAAGATGAGAGGTCTAGGAAAGAACAGGAAAGAACAGGAAAGAGCAAGACGAGAGTGGACGTTGAAAATTGATCACGCTTACGTGGATTTACGCGAAAGTCGCGAAATCTAACGACGCGAGTAGATGATGGAGGACGAGACAGGTCTCGGTTCATTTACCGTTTTCACATTTAACGCTGCATTGTAGCTATTCCGGCATTCTCTTGCTCGATTCGGCTGTGATAAAGTATAAAATACGTTTCGCGAGCAGAGTAATCGCAGAACCGCAATGAATTATCCGTGAGCTTGCGCGTGTGGAGCGTGCCAGAGTCTGACAGTGGAATGCAGTATTTCTAACGCTTTGACCACAATAAAATTTCCATTATTCTATTGGAAATTCCATTATTCCACTATTCTGTTATTCTATTCGATATAATAAGGAATTATCAATATCTTCTATTTAAAGTCCTCCATTTATTTACGTTCTTCAAATTTTCAAAAAATGGTTGGAATAAAACGAGTGTAAATTAACAAAATTTATATCACTGGACAATGGTAACCACCATGGCCCACTGAAGAGACAAACGCCGGTCACTGTTGACCACCATGGCAATCAACGTATTAAATTGAGTTGGAAGATGGAAGAAATTATTCGACTAAAAATGTCCCACCATGCATTACGGTGCATCAAAAAGGTTTTTAATCCCACCGTGCTTCTCAGAGTTAACTTTGAACCGTTTCGACCACAAAGCATTTATGGCAACGTAACCATCCATCCCCATCTAACATAAGAAGAACGATTATGGTTGGGGAAGGTGACGATTATTGGTCGTTGCTCGCGTGTTTTTCGGACGATGAAAATTCTGTAGCGTAAGTAAAAGATTGTTTCATTACTACGCTCTATTTTCCACTGATTATTCCACAATTTCCACAGCTTTTCTTATTTCGAGAACACCCTTTCCTTTACGAAAATGGTCACCGTATTCGTGATAGACGCGTATTTCGTTACCGCCATTTTTGCAGGACGAAAATTTACGTTACATTCCGCGACAGTTCGCGTTATTGGTTCCGTGTTCGTTTTTGGTTCGTTTTTGTTCGGCTCTCGCTTTCTTATTCGTGATTAAGACTGTTGGTTTAACACGTGCTACCGCGGCTACTGTTTAACGTGTACTATAAACACGTACGTTTTACGGTATTCGTCGGTGTTGTAGCGTACGATAAATTTCTCGATCGGACAACTTAATTGAAGGAAGTTCCAGTAAACCATTCACGCGTTTCTCGACGCACGATCAGGCAACGCCGGTGTACCGTCGAAAGCGCCTTGAAAGTGTTAATGGTCTCTATCTACCTTCTATATCTTCACCGGCTACCAGAAAGTGCTAAAAGTTTTCTCCCGGAACGTTTGCCTAATACCTTCCCAAGCCTTGAAACCACTTTCATCCGTGCGTCTCTTATGCTTCCATTAATTTCAACGTGGCCTATCAAATCGTGAAAGCTTGCAGTTATTCGATAAGCGCGAGCGGGATTTCGCGGCGCGATAGAAAAACCTTGGGATCAATTAAGAGGGTTAAATATGCCTCTGCTTCCGAGAAAATTTTATGAGCCACGAAATATATTTCCTAAAGTCGCTTCATTTTTCGATTAAAGTATCATTTAAATTACCCGTATTTATCGAAGAAGTTTAATACTGGGACTAGTTAATTAGTTATTTACGATTTGCAATAAGTATTTAAATATGAATAATAGAAGCGTTCGAATACTTTAATAGAAGGATAAAATCATTCGAGCTAATAAAACAGTTTAGGTTAACCCTCTGCGAACGACCGAATAATTGTTAGAGCGGAGGGACTCGTAAATGTGTAGCGACCATCGTTCTCACCCTCGCCGCTAGATGGATTCCGATTTCGAGGACTTTCTCGCAAGTCCTCGGAGTACCTCCGCTTCCTATATATATAACTTCCAGACATTTCAATAATATCCGCGTCTAAGGCGGTGCGTGCTAGATAGTATGTTATTGTATCTAGTTTCTGATGCATTAGACGTATGTGAAATTGGAAAATTGGAATTGCTACGCCTTGGTTTTAGGTAGTCTTTACTGATGAGTCCCACTAGTAGGCCCAATATGAAAATGGGGGGGGGGCGCCCTTTTCCTTTCGTCCTTTCTAGTAGTACCACCACGTTTAGAATACAATGTAATGTGACCAGCCGAACATTCGTCACAATCATAGGAGGAGAAAGAGGGACCACCCCCCCCCACATGTGGTGCCCCACGTAAACGCGTTGCTATGACCGAGGAAAATATATATGCGCCCGCTATTGCGGCCCTAGGACCCACGCGTCCCAAGTTTTTAAGTGATGTGGTAAACTGCTTTGTGTCTTCATCGCTATGAACGAAAATTTAAAAGCGTTTGAAGCAGAAACGAGCGTTGGTAGTTTTGAAGGACTATCGCGATGAGGTTTGGGCCCCATGAGTACAGTTTACTCTCAAAACCTCGGTCCGCAAAGGGTTAAAATTATATATAATAGCAATCGGTGTGAGTATACGAGATTCGACACTTTAATAGCATATCGAATATCGCGAAAAACATTCGTCGAAAATCCGTCGAAAGGTTCACAAACCTGTTCGCGCGAACCTTCGAAGAATTTGGTGGGATATCTGGCAATCAGCGAACACGAAGCTTCTTTCAATCAATCGAAAGATCGGTACTCTTTCCACGGTATTCAATCCCGCATCCACTCGGCCCACCCTCTCCGCTCTGCCCTGGTAACACGCGAGGCAGAAACCGCAATGTGGGCGGAGATATTCGGAATTACGTCTGTATCATAACGCAGAGGCAGCGAGGCAGCGGTTTACGATGGCCAGGAACGATCGATCGGCACGGTACAGGCCGTGCGGTACGCGATAATTGCGAGATCGCGTGCAGATCGTGTGTCACGAGGCGCGCTTCCCTCTCCGGTACCTGAACGCCGGTGTTTGTTTCAGAAAATCGCTGGCCTAGCGTCAAAGATCGCCGATACGGACCCTCGGTGGATACCTCCGGCGATCGAATTAGCATCGGCTATCGGTTCCCTTTAGCTACCAAGTCGAATATCGCGATCGTAATTGCTCGTGCGGTGTAAATTAGGGCCCGATATGAGGGGCGTGATTAATCTTTTACTCCGTGACGCAAGAAATTACGGTGAACGTTACGCGCGAGCTGTTATTTCAGTTAACGTCGACGTGGCGCCGAGAAAGGGAGGGAGAACGTGTGTTTAACACCCGGATAAAATCGAGAGAAATTTAATTAGTCAAGGTTGACAGGGAATTACGGCAGGCTCGAGAGCGGATACGTAATTCAGAGGGACCGGTAATCACTCGTTATTATCGCAATTGCCTTCCAGAGCGCGGAGTCGTGCAGAAAAGCGTCGGAATCGTCGACCAGGTCGGTGACGGCCGAGGCGGACACGTCTTCGAGAAGAGCATCCACCAAGGTGAAGAGGGAACCAGCCACGACCACCACCAATGCTACGACAACCACCGCGCCACCTACCCACCCCCAGGGACTCAGTCCCAGCGAGGACCTCAGGGACGAACCGGGTGATTTCATCGAAACCAATTGCCACTGGAGGGACTGTGGCCTCGAGTTTCCGACCCAGGTGAGAATTTTCAATTCTAATCTCGCGTTTCTTAACCCACGGAGCTGTCTAACAGACGAGTATCCTTTGGTTCCTCGATTTCTTATTCATGAGTCATATTGTATAAGGTTTGGGTCCATCTAACAGTTCCTTCATCGCGTATTTTTCATTTCCAGGATGATCTCGTGAAACACATCAACAACGATCACATACACGCGAACAAGAAAAGCTTCGTCTGCGGCTGGGAGGAGTGCTCGAGGGAGGAAAAACCGTTCAAGGCTCAGTACATGTTGGTGGTGCACATGAGAAGGCACACTGGCGAGAAACCGCACAAGTGTACCGTGAGTAGAGCAAACTTTGAAGATATATAGAGGTTATACATTCGATAACATGGTGCTCGTGATTGCAGTTCGAGGGCTGTTTCAAGGCGTACTCGCGTCTGGAGAACCTGAAGACGCATCTCAGGTCACACACTGGAGAAAAACCGTACACTTGCGAATACCCTGGGTGCAGCAAGGCGTTCAGCAACGCCAGTGACCGCGCGAAACACCAAAATAGGACTCATTCCAACGAGGTAATTGTTCAGACCGAAATGGTATCTGTAGTTTTTAAGAATCAGTTGGAGTAGGGATTATAACGCGTTGATTCGCAGAAACCGTACGTCTGCAAGGCGCCAGGCTGCACGAAGAGGTACACGGACCCTTCGTCTCTGAGGAAACACGTGAAAACCGTGCACGGTGCAGAGTTTTATGCCAACAAGAAGCATAAAGGAGGCGGTGGAGATGGCGGAGGAAGCGACGAAGCTGGCGCAGGAGGCCATAGTCCCAGCAGAAGCGAGGATCTTCATCCAAAGACGCCTAGCTTGTCGAGTCCCAGCGTGAAGTCTGAAAGCGAAGCGAACAGTCCGCCTAGCATGATGCAGCAGCAAGGTAGTCCTCTGGTTGGTGGCTGCAACGACGAAGTTGCCGGGGTCAGTGCGTTGACTGGCGATGGCGTGGCCCTGGCCGAGGAACCTTGGAACGAGGAACCCGATGACCTGGACATCGCTGATCTGCCAGTTGCTCTACGTGCCATGGTGAGTTTGGGAATATTTAGAATTACAAAAGGTAAATTCGATCACGCGATGAAGGTTAAATCGATTATCTCGGGTCAATTTTACAGGTGGGTGGAATGGAGTCGCAGCAACAGCAACAACCTCCGCCGCCCTCTTCGAGAAATCGTCTGAAAGGCAGATTGAACGCTAAGGGCATGCCAAACTTGCCTGTCAGCGTGTCCGGTATGAGAGGGACACGTGGCATGGGTCCCCAGGGTAACATCGGCGACCTGAACAGGAGGATCACTGACCTGAAGATGGAGGGCGGCGGACCCGCCCGTCAGACGAGTCTTTCCGACCTGCAGCTCAGGCTTCAACCTCTGAGCGAGCCACGAAGGGACAGCAATAGCACCGTAAGCACTTATTACGGCAGTATGAAGTCCACGGACTTCGGTAGCAGGAGAAGCAGCCAAGCCAGCGGGGTCAGCGCCGTTAGAATGGGTCCGACCGGGCCTGGAAGCTTTTACGACCCCATTAGTCCAGGGACATCGAGGAGGAGCAGTCAGATGAGCACCACTTCCGGCAGAATGAACCCTCCCAGTCACCTTCAGGGTCCCTACTCGACGAGCAATCTTGTCGTCCAGACGCAGAATATGTCTCTGCAGGTACTTGGGATTACGCGTTTCTATCCTTGCATCGTTCGAGTCGGTGTGCCTAAAATATTGGATGTTCGATCAATTTAGGGCATTCAGGGTATGCCAGGAGATTGGAACGGTCCAAGTGGTCACTGCACTCAACCGTCCGGTGATCGTCGCATGTCGGAACCTACTAGGGGTCACCAGACCCAAAGGAATTCACCGCCTGTGCCACCAAGGCCAAGATCAGCTCAGCTTCTGGAGCATCACCCTAATCAAGAAGTCATTCTGGACGAGGTTGGAGAAGGCGAAATGGTGGAGAATAAGCTGGTTATTCCTGATGAGATGATGCAGTACTTGAACCAAGTACGTAGATTATCTGGAAATAGATCGTGTTTCAGATGCATCGAAATTTGTTTATTAACTTCTCGCTCTTCTTCCAGGTTCAGGCTGGAGGGACTCAGATCAACTGTCGCAGCAGTCCCTTACCTATTTGTCAGTCACCGATCTGCACCAATCCCTTGCACTACCAACGTCAGATGCAGCCTACCTGCAATTACAGCCAGTCCCATCAACAGATCTGCTATCCCCAACCGCAACCCGCTCAACCGACTTGCACGAATTACCAGAATACTTCTCCGTCCCCGTACAACCAGTGTCCCAGCTCTAGACCTCCACAGCCCAGCTCGCAATACTGTCCTCCACCCACTTATCCGTCGCAACCGAACGGCGGCCAAGTCCTGAGTCCAGCAGCGGGTCAAGTCATGTCACCAGGATCTCACTATGCTCCCAGTCACATCAGCGACCAGCCTCTAACGTCACCAGCAGCTGGTGCCTTGGCACCCCCGCACCCTCCGCAGAATCTTCCGCAGAATTCCGCGCAATTAACCAGGAACTGTCCTCAGAACCACATGCATCACGGCTACTACCCCAGCTACAGTTGCCAAGGACAACTGAGCGCGAACTGCACGGGAAATACAAACGGTCAGGTGAACCACCACGCGAGTCCTCCTTGCGCTCCGCCGAATCACAGCGCCATGACTCAACAGCAGTGCGTGCAGATGCGCGCAACAGGCAACTGTCAGCAACTGTCCCCGCACTGCACTCAACAACCAGCTATACCTAATCCGACGACCATGAGCCACCCCAGTACCCAATGCGGTCAAGTGGCCAGTCAGTGTACCAGGCCGATGGTTACCCCCAATGGTCAGGTGTCGAACTTACACTCTGCTCAGCAGACCACAGTGTCTAATCAGTGTGGCCAGATGTCGCCGCACTGTTCTCAGTTGAACATGAACAACCAGGCCAAGCCGATTGCAAACATGACCAGTCTCCAGGGCTGTCAGCAACAGGCCCAACAGCAAACTACTCCCTGCCTGCAAATGACCAATTGTGCTCACCCCAACGGTGGTCACAGGCAAGTCACAGACACTGCTCTGCCCAAGCGGACGTCTCCGCAGTTGTGCACTGCTCAACAGACCAACTGCAGAATGCAACAGCAGCAACATACTTGTACGCACAATTGTCAAGCTCGGAGCAACCCTCCGAGTCATCAGCAGTATAACTGTAACTGTCAATGGGGCTACGGTGGCGACCAATGTTATCACGAGCAAGCCGGTGCTGCCATGCCGGAGATCCAATGCAGAGACATCAGTCAGTCACAGCAAGGGTCTCCGATGAAGCCACCGCAAGGTATGAGACAGGACTCGTACAGGAGGACACTGGAATACGTGCAACAGTGCAGAAACTGGTCTGGGAACGCTCAGACCCACGAGACGAACGTTTCCAGTTCCACTCACCCGATGTCGCTGCCGCAGCCTCTGCCGTCTAGCGCCAACATGGTGGTGAACGACATGACTTCGTCTCTGAGCTCGTTGCTCGAGGAGAACAGATACTTACAGATGATTCAGTGAATCTCGCGTTACGAATATATAGAAATATACCTACAGATATATTTTCTATTGTACTTTTTTTGATACTAACGTTTAAATAAGCGCGCGGAACGCGTCGCGCGCGTAGAGGGCGACCCGAGCGTTCTGTATTTTTGATAAAGACCAGAGGTTTTACTATTTCCCTCCTTTCAGTAGGAACGAGCGTATTTTCTACTTGTTAAGTGCCCAGTCGGCGGTCGATCGCTTAAATTAATTATTACTTATAGTAGTAGATCGTGACCTCATAAACGGATGATATTCTCGGTGATTAAGCAACGATTGCAAATCGAAGTGATACGTATTACGAGAGAGTTCAAATGTGTTTTCTACTGTGCTTACGTTGTTTATAGGCTGTAGTATTTGTACAAAATTCACGGAGCCACGGGGTGCCTTAAGGTCGAGCTAAGCACGCGGTCGGCGTGCGCGCCGAGTAATTTATTTTTCGAGGATCCTATTTAAGATGTCTCGTCCGAAATTCTTCAAAGCGAAATTTACACGTAGGTTTATTATAGCACTACGCTTAAAGCGCGAGATCCCTGTTGGATCGAGCTTGTTTTCGTCGCACAACTCAATTGTACGTAGGAATATCGCGCGAGAGACCGCGGCATATTTTTCGAGGACAACCTTGTACCGTATTTTTCTACGACCAGTCTTTTCAAAGCGTGCCAATATACCGTTCTTGTCGTATCATCGTAGCTTTTTCCCTCTTAGAAATTCACGACGAATGGCTAAAATATGTAAAACTTTGACACGATTAATGCCGACAACGAAGCAACGAAATAACTTTCTCGAAGTAACTTTACGATGATACGACCAGCTACTAACGAGATTAACCGATGAAAAATGAGAATATAGACGGCCAATACTAGGATATAAAGTTTGTAGATAAAAACGCAGTAACGTAAGAGATTATCAATTAACGCTCATGGACAACGTGCATGATACAGTTAGACAATCATTAAGCGAGAATGCGTCGAGTGCGTGTGCATCTGTGTATATGTGGGTGGTCGAAAGGGTGCGTCGGTTGCGTGTCTTTCATAGGGATCGTTGTAAAGGAAGGAAGCGTAAGATAGTTGAGAAAAACACTTCTAGATTACACACGTTCGGTTTGACCGACCGGGACGATCTTGGAATCTCTAATTTTTATAAAGCAACGTCGTCGAGTGCCTTTCACGATCGTCGTCGGGACGATGAGAAGTAGGCGAGCGCCTTGAGAAGTTGAGAACTTAGCGTACCTAGAGCTGTTTCTTTTTTTTTTTTTTTTTTTTTTTTTTAAAAAA